GGCGGCGGCGGCGGCGGCGGCGTGGAGAGAGGAGCTAGATCCGGAAGCGATGACCATGGACGAGGGGCGAGAGTAGGGCTTCAAGGAGGATGTGCGGTTCTGACGAGCCAGGACGCGTGCGCGCGCCGGTCCCGCCATGGGCTTGGCGGGCGAGTCCGGATACTGCGCTGGGAAGTCCATTGTGCAAAGGCAGCGTGGAGTGCAGCTTAGGATGAGAGGGCAGGCGGCGGTGCGTCGTGGTGCATGAGGAGGTCGGCGCTGGTAATGAAGGATGGGCGGGTGAGCGTCGAGTGAGGGTCGCACCTGCAGATCGAACGGGTGTTGCCGTGTTGCTGTGTCGCAGTGCCGTGTTGGTGCTGCAATTTGATCGCTTGCACCCTTGCTTGCACGCCGATGGATGGCGCCAGGTGAAGCTTTTGGAGTTGGTGATGAGGAAGGGGAAAAGGTGAAGGCGACCAGAAGATCGCTTTGTGTGTGTTGAGAGAGCGTCCGAAAGCCTTTTTTTGGCTGCGCTGCCTCGGTCGCACTCGAATCGCGCGTCGTTCCTTCTGAGCCGCACCCGATGCAGAGGAAATTCGCACCAATTGGGAGAGCACTCGTGTGCGTGTGGGCGGTGCGAGGTGTTTTTGTGTTTTTCTCGTCCCTCACCTGGCGCCCTAAAAAATAATTCGCTCGGGATGACGACAGCTTCCGACTGCAAAGCAAACGCGCTGCCCATCCCGATGGCTTCGATCTGGCATCGCTTATGCCCCGATGTCGCTTGACTGAGGCTGAGGCTGCACCGACCTCCACTCTATCCGCACCCACTTCTGCTCTTTCCGAAGCGTTGTCCTCTCCATCCCTCCTCCTCCCTCGTCATTGTCTGAAACGTCGTACAGCATATATAAAACGCAAGATGGTGTATCACATGCTAGGAGCATTCGCCGGTCTCTCGGGTGCCATGGGTGTCGGACTCGGTGCTATCGGTGCCCACGCCATGAAGTCCAAGCTCAACGCCTATCGTACGTGATCCCCTTTGCCTCCCCACTTTGCTTCTCGATGCTGACCTTTCGAGTCTCCTTTGTCTTGGACGCTTGGTAGAGATGGGCGCATGGAATACGGCTACGCAGTACCAGCTGCTTCACAGCTTGGCGCTGCTCTACACGCTCAGTCTGCCCAAGACGGGTGCCGCTGTTGCAGCGAGCTACGCCTTCGCTACGGGCATCACCTTCTTCAGCGGATCGATCTATGGGCTGTGCCTGACCAAGCCCGACAATCCGGTGCGCAAGCTGCTCGGTCCCATCACGCCCATCGGTGGGCTCTCGATGATTGCTGGATGGTTGCTGCTCGCCTACGCCAAGCGACCGCGCTCGATCCGCTGATCGCCACCACATCGGCTCAGCGCTTTGCTTTCGTATGTTCCCGTTCCAATCAAATCACCCCTTACCATGACAGCTTGAAGAGCATCTGCGACAGAGACGGAGCCAACGGTAGTGCGCAAAGGCGGAGGGCCAGAATTGTTAGATTTTTGAATGCTGGGTGGTCGGAATTTGTCGTGCGAGAACCGGACGTGTCCGAAGAAGCCCGGACTGCAATTTCCAGCTGATCGCTTCCGAAGAGTCGAATCGACGACTGGAAGCGCGCGCCCGCACTCTCTGCTATTTCGCTCGTCGGCAGGCAATTGGAACACCATCTCCACTCTGCTTCTTGATCTTCCACATCCAACACCTTTGCACCCCACGTACAAACTCGTTCCAAAATGTCGGCCGCTTCCTGGAGAGCTCACTTCACGTACGTCTCGTGGCCCACACACCGCACGCAACCAACCACGGGAGCTTGAGGACATTCGGATTGGGTTGCTAGAATGCTGACTCGATTGATTTGCGTGGTTGGCCATGGCACAGCTTCAACAAGTACACCTCGATCTGCGCGCGTGCTACCCGTCAGGCGCTCAAGGAGGAGCAGCGTGCTGCTGCCGAACGCCGCGGCTTCATGGCCCTGCGCTACCAGGAGTGGAAGGACGGCAAGGCGAGCGAGAACGTAAGTACAGCAACCGCCGCAGAGCAGACATCCGCTCGGTCATCGATCTAGTGCAACGCCGACTCGGACAGCACACGACCGACGCATCCCATTCGATCATCACGCCTGTCTGGGCTCCAGTATGATTTACGGCGGTGAAACTGACGGTGACATGACTTGCTTGCGATCCACAGATCAACCTCGCCGAGGCCCAGAAGCAATAAGCAGTTCGACGCCAGCCGGTATCACCCACTCCGCACCAGGCGAGATGATCGGCACCGACGTGCATGTATGAGGCATCCCTTCGCATGACTTGGTTCGCAGTTCATCGACGACGAGTGCCAGTCATCTCATCACGCCGCAATCCCAGATATTACAAGCGTCATTGTCGTGGCTTTTGCACAGCTCGGCAGGTGCGTCCGGGTCAACGTGGGACCGAAGATGCTCCAGCAGAGTGGATGGTCGGAAGAGCATGCCGACAATGCCAGCAAGGCGAGTGTTATATGGCGTGAGGATCGGATCGATAGTCTGGGGCGTGTCCCACGATCGGCCCGATCTGTACATCGTCGGTATCTCCCCCCTCCCCCGGTGCTCGAAGGCGTAAAGAGCGGCAGTTGGGATGCACAGACGAACACAGCTTCCGGCATGTCCATTGGGGCGTCAGGCGTGAGGCGTGAGGCGTGAGGCGTGAGGGAGAGAGCAAGGGGCGAGGTGTATTGCGATTTTCAAGTGGCTGCATGGCGCGGGCAAATGCGCAATTCAAAGCCAACTGTCCACGTTCGCAACGTTGGCAGCGCTCTGCCAAAAGGGTCCAACTGGAGCCGTTCGGAATCTGCGAACGTGGACACGATCGTGCGACCTCTGCCCATGACCGCCTTGCCTTGACGTGCCCCCAACGCTTCGCAGCTTCGCACGGCTCCATGTCGGCACGGCTCCATGTCGGCTAGTGCGATGCGCCAAAGGAGGCACACGACGTGCGGCGCGCCTTTCCCTGCGCTCAGTCAGCCGCTTCGGCACTCTCTCCGAAACCGCTAGGATCAATGCTTCTTCCACGGCTTGGCAGTGTGACAAGACGCTGGCAGCCACGGCCCTTCCGATGAGCTTCCTGAACACGCTGCATGTATCCTCCAGCCCGCTCTCCTTTCCCAACCTCATCTCTGACCGTGTGAAGATTGAGGAGCCACCTTGGCGATCACATCTAGCTCCCACGCCATCCCTTTCGGCTCGATCCCGCCCCACGGCAGTGCACCGACACCATGCTCTACTCTTCTTACGCGGCGCCATTGCCTCCCACCACCGAGGCATCCCACTTGCAGCTCGAGCGGCTCCCTTCCTATCCGCCGCCCGCACCACCCATCATGGCATCCTCAAGCTCGGCGAGCGCCAGTCCGGACCGGTTCGAGTACAATGGCCACGTCGTCGTCGCCTCGCAGCTCGAGAGCCGTCTAGCCACGCATGCGCTCGTGCGCGATTGTGCGGTCATTGGCGTAGCCCAGCCGAATGGGATGGTCACCACCACATCCAGCCACTCAACGATGGCTCACACACTGCCCATGGCGTTTGTGGCGCTCAGCGCGTCCGGACGCGAACGCTCCGCGCTCGGCGGCGACAAGGAGTCACGACGCATGAAGGCCCAGCTCACCAAACACCTCGTCGAGGCCGCACCGCTCCTCAAGACGTTCAAGCTGCGACTCATGTTTGTTGAGTCCATCCCTCGATCCCCGACAGGCTCGATCCTGCGCCATCTGCTGGTGGATAAAGCCACAATGCCTCCTGCGCCCGGTCCCGACAAGGGCTTCTTCAACACGGTGCTTGCCCAGCCGTCGACATCGCCCAAGAAGGGCGTGCGCGATTCGAAGCGACGCGCGACGCACAGCCAGATCGAACGACGGCGGCGCGAAAAGATCAACGACCGACTCGTGACGCTCCGCTGCATCGTCCCCGCCTGTGCGCAGGAACTCGCCGATCGTCGCCGCCAGAAGCAGGAGGACGAGGATGAGGCGGCGAGGATTGCGGCGGGGGGCGCACCCAAGACGTACATCGATGCGGCGACGGGAAAGCCGAAGCGCAAGCGAAACCGCAAGCGAGCGGATAGCAAAAAGGCGGCGGGGGAGGACGAGCTGGGTCTGCACAAGTTGGACGTCTTGACGCATGCGATCAACTACATCTTTGAGCTCAAGGCGCAGATCCACACGCTGCAGACGGGCGAAAGGCCGCAGCACGTGCCTACGGCCGACAACCCGTTTGGCGTGCGCAATGCCGACGGCTCGTATCGGCAAGATGCCAAGATCGAAGACGTTGACGAAAATCAACCCAACGACGATGATGAAGAGGAGGAGGAGGAGGAGGAGGATGAGATTGAGGCTAGTGATGACGAGCCGCTTTCGAAGCGGATTCGCGATACCGATCTGCGCTCGCACTACACCCACCGTTCTTCATCCTCAGGTGCAAGTACGGACATCTCGCCCTCCTTCTCGCTCATCCACGCGAGTCCCTCTGCGATCTCACCGGCCACGACCACCATGTCGCCGATGATGAGTCTGGCTGCCGAGTCGCCGATCCTGCTTCCCGATGCGGCCATGCCACTGCCCAAGCGCGGGCGCGAGTCGATCTCGCTGCTCAAGCACCTTTCGCTTGCCTCGCCACGCGGGGCCATGGGTCCATCCTACGGAGAGCAGAGCGAGGTGCGCAGCAAGACCCCCGGACTGGCAGATGCCAGGGACGCGGCAGAATTGCTGCTCAACTTTTCAACATCGCCAGAGGTGCTTAGGCCCCCAAGGGGTGGCTTGGCCTCTCCGCCGCTGCTGGCCCTCGATGCACCGCAAGATCCAAACAAGTCGCCAAAAGATGGACACTAGCCTGGATGCATAGATGGTGCTGGCAATCGAGATTTGAACCATGTGCGCGCTTGGTTTGCGCCACACATGCAGTGGTGGTTGCGGTTGCTCTTGGGCAGTGAGGACGAGCTCGGTTGCACCAAACCGTCTTGTGGTGGCTCTGACATGCAAGTCACCGTCTACACTCTGACAAAGCTGAGGAAAAGGTGCGACGTGCTATCGTTGACCAGGCGGGGGCGGAAGAGGCAGGATGAATGGAACTTGCACTTCCACCCACCTCACGCTGCCCATCGCTCATCTGCTTTCTCAGCGAGTGCTCGGTATGCATCTACAACGCCGAGTACCGTCTTTTCACCCCAACCCTGTCGCCAGCTTGATCCACCTCTGCCTCCTCGATTCACCCGACGCACCGTAGGAGCACAGAGTGGAAGCTCGATCGTGCATTCGCGTGCCATGCTGCCTTCCTTCCCAGTGTGCCATGCGAACCACGCGAATAAAAATTCCACTCCCTCTCAACAAAGGTGAGCGTGCTGTCATACAGGTTGGACAAGACCTTGCATTCGGTGCGATGCGTGCGATGCAGGGCTACGCGAAAAAGTCCCACTCGCGCTCGACAAAGCCGAGCATGTAGTCGTCGACCGTCCCACCCTCCTCCTCGTCCTCCTCTGGCGGAATCACCGGCCCGGCCTCTGCATCCGCCTGCACCGGCACCTGCGGCTCGTCAAACTCGTCTTCGTCGACCATCTCCTGCCTTGCAGCCAGTGCGGCCTGTCGGTCCTCTTCGTCCTCTGCATCCAGAAACGCCCTCTCCACCTCGCGACCCGTCTCGCCACTCTCATCAACCTTGACCTCGACATCGCCCAGCCTGCCGCCGTCATCGAGCATGTCGCGCCAGTCGATGCGCTTGGCCAGCGTCTCGGTGTTGAACTCGCCCTGCTGAATCACAACGCTGTCGAGCAGCCGCTTCTGATTCGCCTTGCGCAGCATGTTCTCCTCGATCGTATGCTCCGTCACGAACCGGTAGATGTGTACATCGCGCGTCTGCCCGATGCGGTGCGCTCGATCCATACACTGCGCCTCGATCGCCGCATTCCAATCCAGGTCGTAGAACAACACCGTGTCTGCGCCCGTCAGATTGATACCCAACCCGCCACTGCGCGTCGATAGGATGAACGCAGAAATGCGAAGGTCGCGGTTGAACTTTTCCGTCAACGCCTGCCGCTGCTCCACCTTGGTCGCTCCATCCAGACGCAGGTAGCGGTAGCCGTGGTAGTTGAGAAACGACTCGAGAATGTCGAGCACGCGCGTCATCTGTGTAAAGATCAATATGCGATGACCTCCGTCCTTCAACCGACGCATGAGTAGGTCAAGCTGCTGAAGCTTGCCGCAGTCGTACTGCAGCAGCGACGCGTCCGGGAAGGCAATGTGCAGCTTAACCGCCACGGGGTGCACCGTGTCGAATTCGGGCTTGACCATCTCGGGTTGCTGGTACGGCTCGAAGCCGGCCAACGCCCAGCGAGGCATGTCGACGGCTACGGCGCGAGGCGTGACAAACGCAAAGCGGTCAATCACCGGCTGCATGTTCTCGCGCCGCGTCGAACGCGACTGCACCATGCGCAGCAGGTTGTCGCACCTGTCCAGATAGCCGCGACGGTCGCCCTCATGCTGCTCGGCAGGCTCCAGGCGCGCCGATCGGCCCGCTTCGCGAAGCATCCGGATCAGCGCAGCGCCATACACCGGCCGCTTGGTGCAGCGATACTGGTTGATGTACGCTGCGTGCTTCCACCTTTCCATCTCGCCCACCAGCCGGCGCTGCTCGCGCGACTTGGCAAACCCATCGATCGTCCACGTCTCAAGCTCCGGCAGCTCGGCCACCGCGTCGCCGAAGTACGGCAGCTTCTTGGCCGCATTCAGCCGGCGCAAGTCGCGCGACTCGATCGCCGTCAGATGCTCCTCGCGGTCGGTAAACCGAAAGTTCGTCGCATCCAGGTCGACCTTGTCCCACACATCCTCGCGCAGCAGCTCGCGCCGCACGAGCAGATCTTTGATCTCGAAGTCGGCCACGACCGAGCGCGACATGGCAAAGCTCGTCACGATCGGTCGCACCTCGAACAGGTCCGGGTGATTGCACACCTTTCGGAGCTGCATCAGACAGTTGATGATGCTGAGGTAGTTGCCGCTCGCCAGGCTCTCGCGCGTCTTGGCGCGCGACATAAAGTCATTGTAGAGGAATCGTTGACGCTTCGACAGCCGGCACGTGATGACGTGTTCGTACTTGCTCGGCAGCTCCTTTTCCACCTCGCTCTTGAGTCGTCGCAGCAGATACGGCCGCAGCACGGCATGCAGCTTCTGCACCATGGCGCGGGTCTCGTCGCTCATGCTGTTGCCGCCCTCGATGGCCTTGTCGAGCGGGTTGGAGAACCAGTCTTGAAAGTCCTTCATGTTGGCGAAGGCTCCGCCGCCCGGCAGCTCGCTGACTCCGTGCGGCATGAGAAAGTACATGAGCGACCACAGATCCATGAGGTTGTTCTGCAGCGGAGTTCCCGTGAGCAGCAGGCGCCGCTGCGAGTTGAAGCCGAGCAGCGTCTGCCAGCGTTGTGACCGAAAGTTCTTGATGTGGTGCGCCTCGTCGAGCACCAGGTACACCCACGGCTTGCGGCGGAAGATGTGCTGGTCGGCCAGAACGAGTTGGTAGCTGGTGATGCAGACGTTGAAGCTGTTCTCGGTATTCCAGCCGATTCGCTTCTCCTTGCGCTCCTTCTGATTGCCGTAGTACGAGAGGATCTTGAACCCGGGAAGGAACTTCTTGAACTCGACTTCCCAGTTGAGCATCACACTGGTCGGAGCCACGACGAGATGCGGGCCCCAGACGCCCTTGTCACACGCGAGGTGAGCGAGCAGGGAGATGGTCTGGATGGTCTTGCCCAGGCCCATCTCGTCGGCGAGGATGCCGTTG